CTACCGCCGACTTCTTGCCGATCCAGGGTCTCTAAATACCTGGCATTGCAACATCAACGACCATCACTCCGTATGCCCATCGATGTTGGGGGCCTCTCTGTTATCATCCGACTCGGCAAGACACCGTTAAGAGGTTTTAAGCATCTTGTTAAATGCGATTAACTGTTAAACCGACGTGAATCAGAACCGCACCGATCTACACAAAAGAATCGGTCTGAACCACCAAAGACCGAAGTAACTAAGGTTCACCGAGGTCTACTCAAACCGAGGTCATCACCTCCTCAAGCAGGTGACAAGGCGCATATGCACACCCATCACACTCCACGAGATTTGTCATCATTCATGCGGGACCCACTGCTCCGAACCGCCCATCAAAAGCTACTTTATCCAAAAAGTAGTACACAAATCCCGATGTATCCCCCAAAAATTACTATAAATAGTGAACCCATGACATTTGTACGGGGATCTCTCTCCGAACTGAAAAAACTTTACTACGCAACACGTAAAAGCCCATCACGGCTCTTCACCTCGGTTCACCTCGGACCGGGGCCATTGTCGATTTAATCTTACATGCTTTACGTCCAAATCATTCAAAATTACCCACTTAATCATAAGTTACATCGTTGTTAACAATCACATAACAACAATTCTAAGATCCCTAAACCCTAACCCCCCTTTGTCTTTACTTCTGGTTAAAGAATCCCATTTGGCCCAGTGAATTTTGTTTTTTCCTTTGTCTGACTGTCCCCACCAGAAGTTGGCAGAGGTTTTGCAAATATCTTCGCACACTGAGATGGGCAACCTGAAGCAGGACATAGTGTAAGTAGGCAAAGCACTGATAATTGAGTTCAACAAAACCTCTCTCCCTCCCTCACTCAGAAATAGATTTTTCCAGTTTGAAGTTCTCCCAATAACTACATCACTCACATATTTGAAAGTTTCTTTTTTTGATTTTCCAATACCTAAGGGGAGACCAAGATATTTAGAAGATGAGACTCTGGAGATTCCATTCAGAATAAGGCTAACTGCAGTACACACACTATCAGGGGTGTTTTTAGAAAAAAAATACAGAGGATTTGTCAAGGTTGACAAGCTGGCCAGAAGCAATCTCATAGGTTTTAAGGATTTTCAAAATAGTGGAGGCATGATGAGGATCAGCTTTACAAAAGAGAATAGAGTCATCGGCAAAGAACAAATGAGACACTGTGGGAGCATTTCTGCTAATTTTGATCCCAGAAAATTCCTTATCAATGATGGCTTTCTGAATTAAGTTTGAAAAGGCTTCTGAAATAATTATAAACAGATAAGGGGATAAGGGATCCCCTTGTCTGATCCCTCTAGTAGGCTGAAAGAAACCCTCCACAGATCCATTGAAATCTATAGAAAAAGATGCAGAGCATACACAAGCTAGAATCCAAGACACAAACTTATCAGAGAAGCCCATTTTAAGGCAGATGTTAGCAAGAAAGTTCCATTCAACCCTATCAAAGGCTTTAGACATGTCAAGTTTGACAGCCATAAAACATTGTTTCCCTTGTCTCTTACTGTTTAGAAAATGAATGCACTCATTTGCTACAATGACATTATCAATTATTTGCCTACCTTGAATGAATGCAGATTGGGAAATGGAAATGCAATGATGAAGCACAGATTTCAGTCTGACTGCCAAAATAGTGGAGATGATTTTATACATGACAGTGCACAAACTGATGGGTCTATAATCAGCAATGGTATTGGGATTAAGCTTTTTGGGAATTAAAGTGAGAATAGTGTGATTCAAACCTTTAGGCATTTTCTGACTGGCAAAGAAGTTCTTAACAGCAGCACACAAATGATTAGCAATGGTATCCCAAGAGGATTGGTAAAAATGAACTGTCATTCCATCTATACCAGAGGCCTTGTTTTTATCCATACTAAAGACAGCATCTTTAATCTCCTTATCCTCAATGTCTCTGGTTAGCAATCTGCTCATCTGAGAGGTGATGGAGGCTGGGATTCCATCTAAGCAGTCAGGCTCACTAAGGGGATTAGAGGTCTGAAACAAATTTTTAAAGAAAGTGATGATGTCATTCAGATTCTCTTGTTTTCCTTTGCATCTAGAACCATCCTGTTTAGTTAATCTCTCAATGCAATTGAATTTTCTCCTTTGCTTCGCAGAAGCTTGGAAAAATTTAGTATTTTTGTCCCCCTCAGCCAACCATTTGACCCTAGATTTTTGCAACCAGAATGATTCTTCTTCCCTGTAAGCAGCATGCAATTGCTCCCTACAACCCATCCATTCATCCCAATCTCTCTCTCCCCCAGAGGATTCTATGATTTTCAGCTTAGATTTAATATTCTCAATGTCAACAGCTGAATTAATCTTTTTATCCCTTTTTCATCTGAGTAAAGCTTTTCTGACATTTTTAATTCTGCTTTGGATGCTAAACAGGGGATTTCCCCCAACTTCTAAATTCCAGGATTTGCACACCTCCTCTTGGAATCCATCTTGCTTAGGCCATCTAGAGTCAAAGTGAAACCTAGAACTGGATTTAGGTCATTAATGAGAAGCTCCAAAGTAAGCATGCTGTGGTCAGAGGATACAGTGTTGATGTGCTGAACAAAGGCATCAGGGAAATTAAAGTTGAGTTCAGAGGATAGAAAGAATCTATCAAGTTTAACCTCAATGAAGGCATTGCCCCTTCTATTGTTAGACCAAGTAAATTGGTGACCACAAGACTTAAGCTCCACAAGATTGAGCCCATGGATAAGATTTCTAAAGTCAGTGAAGCTAGAATCATCTCTCCTCACCCCCCCCATTCTTCTCATGGTTACCTAGAATATCATTGAAGTCCCCACCTAGGAACCAATTTCTTCCCCAAGTTAGGCTATGCCTAATTAAGAAACTCCATTGGCTTGCTCTGATTGTAGGATTATTATTAGCATAGATGAAGATCCCCCAAAAGGAATCTTCAGAGCCTATAATCCTATAGTGGACTTCAACGCAAAAATCAAAACAATTGAGATCAAGGATCTCAAGCCTGTTGGACCAACACAAAAAGAGGCCACCTTTGGCACCAACAGGATCAACATACACCCACCTCTCTTCAAGCCTACATTTTTTGCAAACAGTTTCAACAATTTTTTTTTTCTTTTTTGTTTCTGATAGAAAAAATAAATCTGGGGAGTGGACCCTAAGGGCTTCCTTGAACTGGGAAATTGTAGAGGGTCCCCCCAAACCTCTACAATTCCACACACATACCTTCATTTACACCCTTGGGACCAATTAGGGCTGGTCTCCTCCACCTCATTGTTAGCATTGCAAGCTTCAAGCTTGAGCTTTTTGGGTTCAGGCTTGTCTAGGGCACCCTCATTACTACCACTTATGTCAGTATCAATCTCTCTTTTGTTTTTTCCTTTGCTATGTTCACCTATTGGTAGGGCAAAAACAGATGTTTCAATTATCATGCTATCAGTAGTGATGGTGTTTCTGGGTTTTTTTGTGTAGGTGTTTTTCTTTCTCTGGGTTTTGACCCCTCCCATAGGTCCAGTTTGGATAGCAATCTCAACAAGATCAAGATTGTCAAAGTTAGTCCTCTCCAGTCTATCAGTAGACTTGGGGGAAGTCTCAGCAAGGACAGGTTGGGTTTGAGCCAGCACTTGCTTGCCAGTGTTAATAGGGGTTTTGAGACTTACAATCACAGCATCAGTATGATCAGGTTTTCCTTTGCTAGGAGATTGATCATTACCTTTGTTTCCATCAAAGTTGACAGATTCAACCCTAGTGGATTTAAAAGACTCTCTAGGCTCAGATGAGTTTCTAGGTGGGCTAGACCTAGAGCTCCTAGAATCAGACAGGGAAAGTTTTGGGGCTTTTAGCCAATCCCCATATTGCCCAATTTTCAGCACATCATTATCAATATCCATTTTTTTTGTGGAACATCCTTTATCAGAATGTCCTATCCTACCACAGTAGTAGCAAAAGATTTGGAGGTTCTCATACCTGATGTCAACCCATCTGTTCTCAGCTCCAACTTTGATGTTTAGGCCTCGCAGCAGGGGTTCTTTGAGATCTATCTCTATATGCATCATGAGGACTTGCACATTTGAATTCCCCACTCCAGGAATTTGGATATCAAGCACCTTGCCTATGGTTTTACCTATCTTCAGGGCAGTTTCTGGGACTAGCCAATGGAGAGGGAGATTGATGATTTGGACCCAAATTTTGACTTTTTCATCCTCCTGTCGAAATTCAATCGCTGTTGGGCTCCATAGTTTTAGCAGGAGATATTGGCCATCAAATGACCAGGTTTTGCCCTGATAAATTCTGTCTCTGTCTTCTGCGTTCTGAAACAAGAACTGAAACAAGTTGTGGCCCACATTCCGGATTGTGAAAGGGCTGCGAGTTTGCCATATGCTGCTGAGAGTAGTTTTGAGGCCACTAAAATTTGCTTGTTTGTCACCATATATTTTTCCTATAAGGCTCTTTTTGCACTCTTCCAGACCCGGTGCAATGGCTTGTTCAGGGATTTCAATTCCGACTTCCTCTTTTTCTATCAGATCGAACTTCTTGAACTGAGCGGTAATTTCTTGGTCCATCACCAATGAACCCCAAAATCGGCAAGATACGCTGAAACCCTAGAAAGGCCCCTGGGACGAAATTGACAGTTCGAGATTGCTGGGAATAGAAGGATTAGTTAATGGGTAAATGTTGAGAGAAGAAGATGAATGCAAGAACACAGAAAGAACACAAAGAAATGACAATGCGAATGCAACTAATGAATGCAACAATCATAACAGAGAAGACAAGGGATACTAGAAACAACTCGGGAGACGAATAAAACTGGTAAAGGACAAACAATAAGCAAGGATAATCCAAGAAGACATCATGGTAAACATCTGGATCTATTGAATGGATCAATTGTAAACACTGGTAAACATCAAGGATATAGATGTTGCTACAGTAAACCCTAATCCAATGAATGGAACTCCCATCTCATCTCGAAGAGAGAGAAAAAATCTCACAAAGGAGAACTGGCACCCAGGTCCCAGCCCCTGCGCGCCCTTGCACCCGCAGCTCGCAGTCCCAGCGCCCGCGCCCGCAGATCGCAGTCTCGGCGCTCGCGTCCAGCAGCTACCAGGCCGCACCCGCAGATCCCAGCTCCCAGCAGCCCTAGCGCCCCTAGCCAAGCCAAGCAGCTCCCAGACTGCGCCTGCAACTTCCAGCGCCCAACAGCCCTAACGCCTCTGGCCAAGCAACCTTCATCTTTCTTTTTCCGTGTGAATCAATTGAAAACTCAAACGAAACTAATAGCACTGGAATATACACAGAAATTCCATTGAAATGTATTTCTTTTAGAATTTTATTATTTTCTTATTAGTCAGATCTGATTTCAAAGCAATAAATGTCTATACAAACTAAATTACGATGCTCAAAATTTTGTCATATCAGCATTCGAATTGTACAAATTTGTTCATTAGGATCAACACGTTTTAAACCAATATATAGCGTAATTTCCTCTTTGAAAAACACTAATTTTTTAATTAATTAGAGAAGGGTTAATTGCATAAAAAACCCCAACCTTTTATTTAATTGCAAATAAAACTCAATTTTTTCAATTTGGCAAAAAAATACCAAACTTTTATTAAATGTTGCAATTTTGTCTTGCTCACCGGACCGCCGCCAACCACCACCGCCACCCGCCACCAGCCACCTTCACCGGATATTGAAAATTTTTACATGATCTTGTAGCTCTCCTCCGTGCCGACAACATATCCGAGTTTCAC